TGATAAATGGAATGGAGATGCGTAATGTAGCCATATATTAAGTATTGATACAAACAAAAAAAATGCAGTTGAAGAAAAAAATATATATATGGAAGAAGAAAAAAAATTGATATCGATACTTGGCAAATGCATATTGATAATCGAATCGTGGGGGAAATTATCGTCACACCCCTAATTAGAACTAGCACAGTTGGTGGCTGACTGAATATGGTCTCACTCACAGTTGTCCCCACTCGACTCCTGGTCCTGCTGGTGTCCTGTGGTCTGCTGGCGGGCAGTGTCCTGACAGTTCTGGGTTTTCTCTGCTCACCAAGAATCACAGGTGAAAAACTTTTGTCTCCTCTGAAAGCACTCTACCGACAAAACTGATGAAAATAACTGTCTTTCTCTAGGCAAACGTGACATCACAGTGTAAGTCTTCTGATTTCACCTATTCAAATCTATCTTGATTTAGGACTAAAAATAATTATCTTTTTTGACTTTTTTTCCTACAAGCTCTCAAGGCACTGGTCCAGGTAAAGACTATTCATATAATTTCAGTTCAATCCATTTTAAACCTAATAAAGCAAAGTTGTTGATTTCTGACAGATTTGGAGCTTCATGGTGATGTTTATGAGGAGCCAGACGCTTCAGAGATTTACAAGGCTTTGGTACGATGTTAAAACACATTTTACATAACACTTTGTTGTCAGTGTGTGGTGTAGATCACACATCTCGAGGCTGTTCCCACAAAACAATAAAAGCCCAACAGGAAGTCTCAAATGTATATTGGAAGATTTCCCCAAATTTTTGAAAAGTCTAGTTTAGTTTAGTCTTTATTTGAAGGGACAAGAGACATTAAGCTTAAAGACAGATATGTTCTGCACCAGATTTTAGTTAAACAGCTAGTTTCCATCTGCAAAAGAACTGCCCTCTCCACTTTTTGAAAAAATGCTCCAGAGGCAACGCTTACTGAAACATGTGGACTCAGATCTCCTCGTGCACGCTCTGTTTACAAATCACTGGGCTCATAGACGTGAATGACTTTGACTGGGAGTTCTTCTATTCTGCCTAACTTTACCCAGAAAAATAAAATCCTCCTATATATCTTATTGTTGAGATATAAAGTTTATGACCATGTGGATATTATGACTTTAAAACTAGATTTAACAAAGGTTTCATATTGTTCCAAATAGTTTCATGGTTGATTAAAATATAAATTCTGTTTATTTTTTTAGAACCAAAAATGTGATGAGTATGACACAATCAACACAAGTACTGTTTGAAACCACCGATGGACAGAAGTTTCTTTTCTCTAACATTTGGTCTAAATATGGACAAAATTTACATTATATTTACATGTTTTTTTACATTCCTTTTGAATGTGCTGGAAAACGGCTGCTGTAGCTCTAAAACAATTGTTGTTTTATCATTTTAATTTTTCTTGCTTATTTCTACCTGAGATGTTGCTGCAATGTTCATAGTTTTACACTGGTCCAGAACAGAGTTAGGATTCATGGTCCGAACCAAGTGACCAAGAATCAGCTGAGAATCCACTGGAGGAATGCTAACTGTGAAAAATGCTAATGAAGCATATAGCATTTAGCTTTGTTAGAGCAGAGAAAATGGTCCAAACTGAGCGGCTACTCCACCTTGTGACCTGTCCTGCTCCACCCAGAGGCTACTCCACCTCTGCTACTGTGACCCGTCCTGCTCCACCCAGAGGCTACTCCACCTCTGCTACTGTGACCCATCCAGCTCCACCCAGAGGCTACTCCACCTCTGCTACTGTGACCCGTCCTGCTCCACCCAGAGGCTACTCCACCTCTGCCACTGTGACCCGTCCTGCTCCACCCAGAGGCTACTCCACCTTTGCTACTGTGACCTCAAGGCCTGTGAATGATTAATACTATTATTAGCTTTTTAGAATGATCAATTCTATTATTGCTGCTACTGAATTTCTCATACAGGGATCAATAAAGAATCTTTCTATCAATCTATCCTATTACTGGGAACATTATGACCACAAAGGCAGCTGCACGCTAGCTGCGTTGTTGTTAGAGCGGCTCACAGCCACTGGAGGTGGGAACCGCTGTCATTGTAAAACGGGCGCAGTTGCTCCAGGGTCAGAACGCTGCAGGATCCCATTCGAGTACATGGAAAAATGAAACGTTGTTTGAGCAGCGGAGCGGCAAAATGTGACCTTGATCAAAATGTTTGAAGTTTTGCACATAATTCTGTTTTGACCTGTCAATGACACCAAAGACTTTTTACCCTGTTGCCGCTCCAAATCATCTCAACACTTATACCATCAATAGTTATTCCCAGAATTTTGATTAGTCACATGGTCATCCAATGGAGAATGGAGAATTTTTGGCAGGCAGGCACAAGGGCGGCTATGTGCGCAGCAGGACCCCGGAGAAAACTTTATGGAGCAGTCAGATAACTTTAGCAGTGTCTAAATCTGAGTGAGTTAGAGACGAAGAAAGTCACCGGAATGAGCCCAGTGTACGGAGAGATGGACACTCCCGTCATCTGTATGAGGAGGAGGAGGAGACAGAGGTGTGTGAGCGGAGGAGGAAGAGTGAGACAGGTGTGTGAGCGGAGGAGGAAGAGTGAGACAGGTGTGTGAGCGGAGGAGGAAGAGCGAGACAGGTGTGTGAACAGAGGAGGAAGAGCGAGACAGGTGTGTGAGCGGAGGAGGAAGAGCGAGACAGGTGTGTGAACAGAGGAGGAAGAGCGAGACAGGTGTGTGAACAGAGGAGGAAGAGCGAGACAGGTGTGTGAGCGGAGGAGGAAGAGCGAGACAGGTGTGTGAGCGGAGGAGGAAGAGCGAGACTGGTGTGTGAGCGGAGGAGGAAGAGCGAGACAGGTGCGTGAGCGGAGGAGGAAGAGCGAGACAGGTGTGTGAGCGGAGGAGGAAGAGCGAGACAGGTGTGTGAGCGGAGGAGGAAGAGCGAGACAGGTGTGTGAGCGGAAGAGGAGGAGGAAGAGCGAGACAGGTGTGTGAACAGAGGAGGAAGAGTGAGACAGGTGTGTGAACAGAGGAGGAGGAGGAAGAGCGAGACAGGTGTGTGAACAGAGGAGGAAGAGTGAGACAGGTGTGTGAGCAGAGGAGGAGGAGGAAGAGTGAGACAGGTGTGTGAACAGAGGAGGAGGAGGAAGAGCGAGACATGTGTGTGAGCGGAGGAGGAAGAGCGAGACAGGTGTGTGAGCGGAGGAGGAAGAGCGAGACAGGTGTGTGAGCGGAGGAGGAAGAGCGAGACAGGTGTGTGAGCGGAGGAGGAAGAGCGAGACAGATGTGTGAACAGAGGAGGAAGAGCGAGACAGGTGTGTGAGCGGAGGAGGAGGAGGAGACAGAGGTGTGTGAGCGGAGGAGGAAGAGCGAGACAGGTGTGTGAACGGAGGAGGAAGAGCGAGACAGGTGTGTGAGCGGAGGAGGAAGAGCGAGACAGGTGTGTGAGCGGAGGAGGAAGAGCGAGACAGGTGTGTGAGCGGAGGAGGAAGAGCGAGACAGGTGTGTGAGCGGAGGAGGAAGAGCGAGACAGGTGTGTGAGCGGAGGAGGAAGAGCGAGACAGGTGTGTGAGCGGAGGAGGAAGAGCGGGAGGTGTGTGAACAGAGGAGGAGGAGGAAGAGTGAGACAGGTGTGTGAACAGAGGAGGAGGAGGAAGAGCGAGACAGGTGTGTGAACAGAGGAGGAAGAGCGTACAGGTGTGTGAACAGAGGAGGAAGAGTGAGACAGGTGTGTGAGCGGAGGAGGAAGAGAGAGACAGGTGTGTGAGCGGAGGAGGAAGAGCGAGACAGGTGTGTGAGCAGAGGAGGAAGAGCGAGACAGGTGTGTGAGCGGAGGAGGAAGAGCGAGACAGGTGTGTGAGCGGAGGAGGAAGAGCGAGACAGGTGTGTGAGCGGAGGAGGAAGAGCGAGACAGGTGTGTGAGCAGAGGAGGAAGAGCGAGACAGGTGTTTGAGCGGAGGAGGAGGAGGAAGAGCGAGACAGGTGTGTGAGCGGAGGAGGAAGAACGAGACAGGTGTGTGAGCGGAGGAGGAAGAGCGAGACAGGTGTGTGAGCGGAGGAGGAAGAGCGAGACAGGTGTGTGAGCGCTGCTATTGCCAATGATTAGTACAAATGTACACATCAAAAACATAAAAGCATTTGCAAACAGCACATGCCCAGCTTCAGAACTGCAGTGGGTTTTGGGCATAAAACGCCTGGTTGTGGTTGTGGTGTGTGGAGGTGATTGCAAAAACGTTGTTTGATGGGAAAAAATACAACAAATATTGACTCCGCCTCACAGTCATTTTGGCGCATTTTGCCAAAACAATTAGAAGAAGAAGACTCCTTTTGGCTCAATCTGTTGAGTTTCTTTGCCATTTTGCCACAGGACGAAATAACAATGTCAGAGACCACGACCAACAGTGTGTGTGTGTGTGTGTGTGTGTCAAAATGAACCAATGTGTGTTAACGATGATTGAAACAGGCCTGAAGTAGAAGAGTTAAAATGAAACAATGCTTCAAGTCTTAAACATAATGGACGTAATGAGCACATAAAGCAAATCAAACAATGAAAACACAAATAATAGTAATGTTGGCGTCTTACTGGTGTTCTGTCGAGCCGTGCCCCCTTGTCGAAATGTGCATCCCCACCCCCGGAAACCAACTTCCCTTTGCTTAATGATTATGAATGCTTATATAACAAAAAGGCCGACATATTTATAATTGATTAGATTTAATGAAAGTTTACAAAATGGAGGTTATTTTGTTAAATCTACTAAATACAAGCAGTGCGCCCCTTGTCGAAATGTGCACCCCCTCCTGCTGAAACAGAACACGCCATCACCACTTAATCAATATTTTGTAAAACGTACAGCGAGTAGCACAGTACAATAGTAGTATGTATGTACAGTAACAGCGTGAATGTTTGTCAGGCAGCCAAGTTATCCCAGAAGACATCCAATACATACACCACACCTTGTATACCACCACAGACAAGGTAAAACAAGATGCCACGCTCTTGTCATACATGGATGTCACCGCAGAAAACGAAGACTGTGCACAACAGAAGTCCAGAGACGTGACGGTGAAATATTCCGTCTTAACCCGAGCACGAGACAGGATCCCAGTCTGCAAATCCTCATTCCTGAGCCTATTCTGTGAGTATTTTGAGTGAATTATTTCAAACAAAACATTTGATTATGTAATAGTTCCTTTTCTAATAGTTGTGTAGTTTGTCTTTTGTGTGTATTATTTACATAATATTAATATTTAACATAATGGGGAATTGCTATAAACCTTTAAGAAAACTCTTGCGTGTATTTAATCTGGAGTCATAACATATTATTTGACAGTGATTTATAATTAATTAGTGTTTGACAATACAGTACTGGGGCATACACAGACTGTTCTCTGCAGTGTTAGTTTTTATTAACAGTAGTTGAAGCTATTTACTGCAGTTTCCCTCTGGATCAATAATGAATCTATTTATTAAACTAACTTTTTAGTGACATACTTTTGCAAAGATGTAGCTATATTATTGATCTAACTTTAAATAATCTGTGATTACAGGTGTGAAGAAAGACCGTCTGTGTAACATTGCCAAGTTTTGGAAACAGAATGGGGTGCCAATGCCGGAGGGCCGTGGAGGAGCACGGAGGCCCGAAGAGAGGGCAGCTAAGAGAGAAGCCATCAGAGAGCACATCCAGACTTTCACCTGCAGAGCCAGTCATCATGCACGCAGAGGAGAAGAAAGTACCTTCCTGTTGATCTGAACGTTAGGAAGATGCATGAACTGTTCCACAGTCAGAATGAGCAGCAGATCTCCTACGCATTATACTATAGTGTGGTCATGTAGCATGTGGTCAACTTAGCATTTGGACATCCCGCAAAAGACGTAGCACCTGCATAAAATCTCGACTGAAACTGAAAGATCCTGAGATGTCAGATGAAAAGCGCAGGGAGGCTGCTCTATTCATGTTGCATTGACGCAAAGCAAGTTTTATGATTGTTTAAATGCTGTGAGTGACACTATCATTTGACATGATGCAAAATCTAGTGCTACCAAAATGTGCCATTGGACAGACATATTATTCAAGGCAGTTATATCAGTATGTGTTCGGAGTTGTGCGTCATTGTGGTCGTGGTGCAGGTCAGAGAAAAGAAGACGTCCATCTTTAGACATGGTTAGAAAATGAAAACAAGGACAGTAACATGGTGGCATCTGCTTTAAAACATTATCGTGTTGCTTGTAATGAACTTAGTCACCATAAAGAACTCAGACTATTTTCTGATTCTTGCTATGGGCAAAATAAAACTGTAAGCATGCTCGCTATGCTTTTTTCTCTCAAAAAGCGCACACTGAAAAACGTAAGAGTTGAATATACATTCCCTGTACGTGGGCATAGCTTTATGCCCCCTGACCGTGTCTTTGGACGCCTGGAGCAGGACATTTTTAAAAATGACACTATCCTGCTTCCATCAGAGTATGTGAAGATTATGGAAAAACATGGAAACGTACACGTTTATGGACAACACTGGGAGTGCTATGACTTTAAAGCTGCTGCTGCAAAACATTGTACCTCATCTCGCTCATTTAAAATAAGTGAGGAAATCAGTGGGGACAAAGTAGGCAGTAGATTTCTGTTACCACAGTCTTTTGAAACATGGGAAAAAGGTGGGAGACCTTCAAGCCAGCACTCACTCAAAGAGTAAACTGTGTGAAGGCAGCTAAAAAAGCCGATGTCCTAAAACTGCTTGGAGAGCTTGGGGTTGGTGACGCAGTCTCTACGTTCTATCCAGATGCGTTACAGATGCGTTAGTTGGAGCAGGACGTGATGCAGACAGGACTTGGTGGAGAGTAGTGATGGGAATGAGCAGTGAGCAGATGGTGAACGGATTCATTCTCACAAACTTTGAGAGGGCAAATTAATTAATCAAGCTGAGCCCAAGTGTAATATGAAGCTAAAGCTGGTGAAACCTTTTTGATTTACTTTACATGTTTTGTCCCAATAGTCTTGCCAGTTGCTATTTGCTTCTTTGGACCGTGAGCGGATTGGTTTGAGTGAGGATGGTCCTTTCTCTTTCTGAAGAACCTGATCTAAAGTGACAGGAACCCAAAATACATGGAGGTGAAATACAATCTAAATCTACAGTAGAGGCATGTTACTTGAATTTTATTATTTTATATTCAGTGTATGTGTATTTTATATTACATTGTATCGTGCTTTTTATTCTGTCGGTGCACACAGAGTACCTTTTTTTACAAATGTATTCCAATGTAGTTTTTATACTGCACATGGCCAATAAATGAATCTGAATCTGTTACATAGTTATTTTTTCTGCTTCCAAAGTTTTAATTTGCCAAATGTTGCAATGAGTTAAAAACCCTAAAAGTTGCACTTGATACATTTCACTTACATGTTGTTTGTTTTGTAGCGCACTAAAATGAATCGCTCCAAAGAAAGTTATTTTTCATAGATTGTTTACAAGTTTGCACTTTTTAAATGTTGCCTGATTAAATGTTGTGTTACAGTATCCTATTAACTTGAATGTATTGTCACTTTAAACGCAATGTTTTAGCAATTTTGAAGTTTGTTTTAATAAAATGTATTATTTTGGTTCATTCAAAGATGTACAGGCTTAATTTATGTCCTTAATTTAATGTAAACGCAATAATCGCGGAGTTAACTATTTTTGACAAAAAAACGATTGTTGGATTTATCTGCACAAATATTTATTTAAGTTAAAAATAAATTATAATAAATAAAGTTATATTTTTGGAAATGTCTACTTTTGTTAAGTGTTTATTCCTTTGTTGAAGCCAGTAAAGTTTACCAACCTAAGTGTTCCCATAAGATTAAAATATTAAAGAGGGTTTATTGACATTTCATAAAAATGGAGATATCTCCTTTTGCAACAACAATTTTTTTTTTTTTTGAAAGATGCGGTGGGAAACGGCTGCAAGTCCTTAGTAGCTCTGATTAACAGTTGTTGTTTTGTGCTTTACAATTTTTTACTTTTTTCTGCCTGAGATGTTGCTTCAGTACAGTTTGCACTGGTCCAGACCGGAGCAGAGAGGATTCATGGTCCAGACCGGAGCAGAGCAGGTGATAATCCACTGGATTTATGGGTTGTGACTCTTATCTATCTCAGACTCACAACCCATAACACCAGTTACAGTCCCCCCCCCCCCCCCCCCCCCCCCCCCCGGGGGGAGAGGCGGGCCAGAGTGATGACTTCCCATTAAAAAGATCCGCATGTTTTTCCACATGTACCGTGTCTCTCCCCATGTTTGTTGAAATATGTGTCTGTTTTGCTCTATGCTGTTGAATAACTGTCATAAGGAGCGCGGAAAATTAGAGTACGCGGCCGGCCTTGATGTTTATTCATCGAACTGAATTTCTCCATCTGTGTGAGATAATAAAGGATTGATTGATTGATTGAGGAATGCTGACTTTTAGAAAAATGCTAATGAAGCCTTTAGCATTTTACTTTGGACTAGAGCAGAGAAAACGGTCCAAACCAAGAGGCTACTCCATCTTTTGACCTGTCCTGCTCCACCCAGAGGTTACTCCACCTCTGCTGCTCTGACCTGTCCTGCTCCACCCAGAGGCTAATCCACCTCTGCTGCTGTGACCTGAAGGGCTGTGGCTGATCATTACTATTGTTATCTTTTTTTGGAATGACCAATTTTATTTTTTATTTTTGCTACTACTGGACACTTGATTTTCTCCTTCGGGGATCAATAAAGTATCTATCTATCTATCTATGTCTGACTCCTGTGTCTCTCTCTCCTGCTTCCTTCCTCCTTTACCCCCTCCCCATCTCCTTTTGAACGCAAGGCACGGGTGGTGCAAGTTAAAAACAAATGTTAAAAACACACACAACATGCAAAGATACATAAATAAAAACCTTATTAAAAACCCACCACCCAGTTTGCACCCACTGACATACACAGTGCATTTCGCCCACTAAGTCTTTTAAAAGTACTCGTCGTATCCATGCTTCAGTATGTGCCGCTCTGTCTACTTGCCCCTTAGCGAGATATTTGTAAATAATATTTGTTTACATCATGCGCACGCAGATGTAAACAAATATTGTCCTATACAGACGCAACCAGAGACATCTGAGGAAGACACCAGTGACATCCAGGTGAGCACCGAACCAGAACTCACTGATGAACAATCACGGTGGGTACTGCTGAAGATGTTCCAGATGCACAGCCCATCTCTCCTCCACAAGCACTGCACACCAGGAGTGGCAGAATTACTAAACACCAGAGAGTTTCAAAGACTTTTTTATGTAAAAGTCACAACGTTTTATTGTTCATTTTGTTTAAAGTTAATGTGATTTGCATGATTTATTTTGTGAAGTATAAATCATTTGTGTAATGTTATTATCAGAGGCCAAATGTTAAAACATTTCAATGTTTATTGTGTGGACATACAGGTAAAAGGCTTTTTACCTTTTCTCTGGTTTAAACATGATTACAGTGCTACAGAATGTGTGTTAGTATATGCTACAATATATATAACGGCTCCAGAAGATATTTCTTGGATAAAAGACCAACTCTGACAGATGTTTCGTTGATATTTATTTTCAACAAAGCCAACTAAAGCAGTGAAAACTGTGCACAAAAAACCTTAGCAACATACACACATTCAACAAACGTAAAACAATATACAATTACCGTGTGCGTCTTCGATCTAGACACTCTGGGGTTGTCAGTACTTTTCAGTACTGTCCATATTCTTACTTTCTGTTCAGCACGAGGTTACCTTGATCCTTTTCGCCAGTCTCTCACTCTCTCTCCAATGAGCGCATGCGCATGTGCACGGGTAATATAAGTTCACAACTCCACCACAAGGGGTCAGAAGCACCACACAATAAATGCACTATTATAAACAGAATACAAATATACAGTACAGACCAAAAGTTTCACCCTCTCCTTCCAAGAGTTTTCTTTATTTTAATTAACTCATGTGGAATTATGTATGTACTTAAAGTATGAAAACAACTGGAAATATGTCTTCTATTCTGGGTTCTTCAAAGTAGCACTTTTTTGCTCTGATACTGCTTCACTCTTGTCATTCTCTTGATGAGCTTCAAGAGGACCTGAAATGGTCTTCAACAGTCTTGAAGGAGTTCCCATGATGCTTAGAGCACCCATCACTCTCCTTGGTCAAACAGCCCTTACACAGCCTGGTTGTGCATCTACAGTCAGTTGTCATGAAAAGAAAGGAAACTCATTGAATGACTGATTGATTTTTTATTTTTTATTATTCATTGGAGCAGAATTTTACAACCATAAGTCTTGACAATATTTACATTCCTTAGTTTACATGACCCATACATGTTGCTCCCAGTATATACTTATACATGGAAATATATAAACATACAATCAAGCAATACTTGCCCTGTTTCCCCATGTGTTGTAAATCTACAAATTAACCTCTATTTACAATTTGTCAGCTCGAAATGGAGTGGGAAGGAAGTAAAAACTTGTCGACTACGACGCCATAAACATAATTTAAATTCATGCAAGAATGTTGTTATTTAGCATTGAATAAATAATTCCTTAAGAATCATTTGTTGTGTTCAGTGCAATTTAATACTTTAATAAAGCTAAATCTGAAACAATGATCACTGTGCCCCAGCAAGGCCCAGCGCCCCAACCCAGGCCAGCTCCAGTCACAAGAAGCAGCCACCACAGCAGTAGACCAGTCATGCAGAGGACCATGGTCCAACACACAGCAGGCTCCAACGACACCATGAGCAGCAGAGGACCATGGTCCAACACACAGCAGGCTCCAACGACACCATGAGCAGCAGAGGACCATGGTCCAACACACAGCAGGCTCCAACGACACCATGAGCAGCAGAGGACCATGGTCCAACACACAGCAGGCTCCAACGACACCATGAGCAGCAGAGGACCATGGTCCAACACACAGCAGGCTCCAACGACACCATGAGCAGCAGAGGACCATGGTCCAACACACAGCAGGCTCCAACGACACCATGAGCAATACACCATCATTGCTTTGTTCTTTCAGATGAAAAGGAATATATTCAATTCTACAGTTTCTTTACCTTTGATAGAGCCGGTTATCTCCACCTTCAGGCAGATGATACTTTAATTTGTTTTTTTCTCCTTTATTTTCTTTTTAATTCTCAATCTTTTGTACGTCCAAATGAAATCAAGACAGTGATGTCATTCCTCATCGTATTGTCATGAGAAAGTGTGTCCAAACTTTAGGTCTGTACTGTATAATGTAAACAAAAAATTTTCACTGACAGTATTGTATACATACCACAGTATACACGCCGGCTCCGATCTGGACATGGGCGGGAGGAGAACGGTATCCATGACGATGACCATCTTCTCCACCAGCTCCTGCTGCACTTCACAGACGACCTGTGAAGCCTAGTGCTCCTAGTGGGACGAGGCCGGTACTGCGCTTAAGCCGAGCGAAGCCTACTGCCCCCACCATACGTGTGCAGTCTATTTACATAATCAAATTCATCTTCAAACAAACTTGTAAAACATTTATTTTTGGGATAGGAGGGAAACCTTTTAGTCAGACACCTGAAAGGAATTTGCCTAAACTCGATTTTGCAGAATGTCTAACCATCAGTCCCCATCAGCTCCTTTATCACTGTATACAAAAATAGCTTGAATCTTGCGTTTTTATCTTAATTTTAGTAATACCAATTGGGACGAGCCATTTGGTATTATTTTCTCATTCCAAGGAAGACTTTTTTTATCCTTTTAAAGCAAGATAATATTGCTTGTCCCATTTGCGAATCTTGTTTTGAAGTCAACATTTGCTTGTTTATCACTTTTTGCAGTGATTAAACCTGGACTAAACAACTCTTCATGTGGTTCCAAGGGGTAGAGGCTTATATTGGGGGTTGTAATCCCCCACTTTGACCATTGGAGGAAATATACATCCATTTTCTACCGCCTCATCCGTTGCTGCGTCACAGGGGCAGCAGTCTGAGCAGAGATGCTCAAACTTCCCTATCCACACACACTTCCTCCAGCTCTTCCAGGGGGACCCCAAGGCGTTCCCAGACCAGCTGAGACATGGTCCCTCCAGCGTGTCCTGGGTCTTTCCAGGGCCTCCTCCTCCCAAAACACCCCTTCAGGGAGGCGTCCAGGACAGATGCCCGAGCCACCTCAACTGGTTCCTCTCAACGTGGAGAAGCAGCGGCTCTACTCCGAGCTCCTCACCCCATCTCTAAGGGAGCGCCCAGCCACTCTGCGGAGGAAGCTCATTTCGACCGCATTACTGCACACGCTGCACCGATCCGCCTGTCAATCTCACGCTCCATTCTTTTTCAACAGTCATAAACAAGACCCTGAAATGCTTGCACTCCTCCACTTAAGGAAGGACTTAAGGAGGGCAAGGCACCTTTTTCTGGTCGAGCCCCTGGCCTCAGATTTGGAGGTTCTCATCCCAGACACTTTACACTCTGCTGCAAACAGTCCCAGTGCAGCCGAGCGGACGAAGATGGCTGTCGATGGATGAAATAAGTGAATCTATTTTCAAATGAAACAGACAGAATCTATCGGTTCAATAAATCTTTATTTAAAATCTCTGAAAATGTAACACTGGCTGCGGACACAGGGGGGTGATCATGGGACACACCTGAGAAGACTTTGGCACGTATTACAATGGGAGTACCACAATGAAAGGCTAAAGTACCGTGAAATAAAGTACTCTGTCTGAAACATGAAAGTGCTCCAATGAAGAAGGGTTTGGACAGCGGGGGGTTTGGAGTAGCTGGCTTGGTGATATGTTTGGTGTCTATTTAGCTGCTAAACTCCTTTTGTTATGTTTCGAAACATCTCCTGTTAATTCCAGACATCCATTAATAATCCAATTTTGTGAGGTAGTCATAAAGTTTGTAGACAATCTCATTTATAGCTCCTCCCGGGGTTGTGGGCGCACCAATGCAGATTAAGAAAGCTGTAAAAAAAAGACTTTGTTAAAACTGGTTCAGACTGGCACAGTCTACTCTATTCCCCAGCTCTTCTAATAATAATAATAATGATAATAATAATAATAATAATAATAATACATTGGTTTTATAGACTCCTGTGGATTCACCACCTGCAGAGGGTCAGTGAGGGGCTGGTGCTATGAGACTTGGGTGGCATCTCTGATTGCCACCCCCCTGACCCAGAAATGGATTAAAGGGTAGAAGATGGATGGATGGTTTTATGTAGTGCTTTTTTGGACACTCAAAAGATTCTTTACAAACCATTCACACACACACACGACTCATTCTGGGCAATGTGGATGAAGTGTCTTGCCTAGGGACACAACAACTGTGGCATTTTAAAGCCTCAGCCACCCCACTTATTTATTTATTGGTTTATTTGACAGGGACAGTGTACATTAATGAACATTACTGTAAATGTACCAGAATTAGGCACAAGGCTATTTTTCATCCGTTGTCCCTGGACAGATTTAAAATGTCAACCTAAAAGCAAACAACACTTTGGCACCTGGAGTTCCCAGAGGTCTCCCATCACAGCACTAACCTCACCCTGTTCTGCGCTGCTTAAGCCTGGTTCACACGGCAGGATAATTAGGCCGATTTACCCCTAACGACAATCTTAAACGCTACAAAAATGTGTTTAAAAAATCTGATGGATTTTTCATGTGTGGTGTGTCAAGACTCCGCTCGTCGCTCAGGACTTTGGGACTGCTCCGATCTCAAATCGGGAATATCCAACATGTTGGATTGTTTTGGCCCAATTACTCTCCGTGTGTGGTGTCCTCCGGGGACAGACGAGCATGTTGCCAGTGGACTGAGCCGTGTACAGTAGCCAATCAGAAGACGAGGTGACGAGGCGGTGAGGAAACACCGGAAAAGAATCATAATAGTTAGTGGCATGGCACATAAATATAAATATATATAGTCCGAGCTCGCGTTTTCTTCAACTATCGCCTATTCCTTTGATAACACTTTTTCTCTGTTAAAAACAAACTGCAAACTATCGCCGCTGAATCCTCCATGATTGTTTACTCTGAAGTCTCGAGAGATTGTGAGATTTCCCTCTGACCTGGGAATTTGAGGGGGAAATCTGTTCGTGTGTGGTTTGCAAGAGTTTGCCGTGTGGCTGCACACCACACACTGTACGACCAAAGTGGTTTGACCCTTGAATATTTATCTCTGTGTGTGGTCTCTCGGGTTAGGGAAATCGGCAGACAATTTTAAAATAGTCTCGTGTGAACCAGGCTTTGGCTTCAGGGCTCTGACATAGTCTGGCTTTCACATGCAGGTATGGCCATTCTGTCAGGTTTCCTTCAGTCATGTCCAATATAAAGAGATATCCTTTACCCTTTTTGGTCTTGTAGATGCAGCCATTGCAGAGTTCGGCCTCCCCGGAGGTCTTCACAGCCATGAACGGGTTACTATCGTCTTTTAGATTGTTTTGCAGCACAACGTATTTGACTCCTGCCAAACGCAAACCCGTCTGGAACAGCATTGAGCCATCACGCTGGAAACCATTCACCTCTTCCACCTGCAAACACCCCATTTTAAACTACCGCTACTATTGCTGCAAAAGCAATAGTAGCAGTCGCAGCAGTAGCAGCAGCAGCATTCTTACACTCAGGTTGAAGTTTGGTGAGGTGGCCCACAATGATCCATCGTGACCATGGATTGCAGCTGCTTTCATTTTGGGGCCCATATCCGTCATCTGTTTGAGGTACTCGACCCAGGCCATCCTGTTACAGCCATAAAAGTGCAATTAGTAAGTCACATTCATGTTGTAGGAGATTTGAACCAATAAAAAAAAAACCTAAAAATATCAGATTCAACACATCTCCTGGAACAACCTCAGACTAGAGGCCCTCTGTGGTACTGCACCCATACCCACCACTCTTAGAAACTTATAATAAAAAGGTATATAGGAGGATTTTCTACTTTCAGGTGGATCATATAGACTATTGGTCCCCCCAATTGTCAATCATTCTGTTAATACGTGCTTGTCAAATAAGAGAGAGTTTTGTTAAACAAGTAGAGAGAGCCATTCTTTCCTAAAAAAAATTAAAAAATATAAATAAATAAAAATCTCCTATTTACCTTTACCAGTCAACATGCATTATTTTCGACATTTCATTACACACAAGACTATTTTCAGATGTATAGTTTAGCCAACCGGAGACCAGAGAGAGAGAGAGAGAGACCAGAAGCAAGAGGGTTTTGACCAAACCTGTATTTGCCTAAAAACCGGTCTGACGGACTAACAGCTCGCAGCTATTTCAGTCCGACTGGGAACACAGTTAAGCTACGTTCACTCAGTCAATGATTGATATATGTTATTATATATATATATATTTTCAACTACAACAAATTCAATATATATATTAGTCAACTGCAGTTTTTTGCCCAAAGAAATAATAAATCCTCTTTATTTTCTTTCTGCATTTAAAAAAAAATTAATGTTCTGTTTTCATTTCATAGCGCATTCTTTCCTCTTATCTTACAATACAATGCAAATGAAGGGGGCGGAGCTACAAGAAGTTATGGCGCTTTCAGACCGCAAACGCTGAAACGCACGTCCTCTAGTTTTCAGACGCAGGGGTCTTCAGACCAGAAGTCCTGGCGCGCGCCGGAAGTGGCGGAAGTAGCCGGCGGGCTCTGATGCTATCAGAGTTTAGCTAGCGGCTTCTTGAAAGAACTTCTGCATCGGCTAACAAGTTTGCATTATTTGTTTACACTCACTGGAGGCATATGTTCACAAGCACTGTGTCAGTCCTGGTTTAGTCCTGGTTTATGTTTACGAGTGTCTTCAGTCTTCCCCGTGACCACTTTGCAGCTCTCTGATTGGTTGCTGCACATGTGGCCAGCGGAAAAAGTTCAACAATTTTAATCTCCTGCTTTTGCTGCATGTATCGAGTTCGCGTACCCACCGCCTCTGCCGCGCCGCCGCGCAGGACAAACGTGCGTGACAAAAGGTACGTTCCTCGCACGAACAGACATCACTATCGACTTTGCATTGAACCTGGACACAACGCATGATCCAGTCTGAACGCTGCTTTATTCTGCTGCCACACAAGGGATCCAGCTACACGTTCCAACCAAAGACTAAACGGAAGGACAATGCTAACCTGCTAGCTCAATGCTAACCCACAAACTCAGTGACGCCCATGAGAGAATGCTCTTGGTTTTGCTCCAACTCTTTGGCTCCTATTCACTTAAAAATCTGTGCTCGCTCATGTTGTTATCAGACTTTGACATCTGAGCGTTCGATTTACAGTCTATGGTTTTAACCAATCTGTCAGATCAGAGCGAAGCCAGAGCGTGACGAGAGCTAGCAGAGTTCAGGATGAAAATGTTTCAAAGGAGAGGGAGAGGAAAACATTGCACCATCAGTGAGCCTGCATTTCAATCAGGTAACACCCATGGTGGTTAGATGAGGTCGGGAAGGAACAGATGGAACAGATGAAGGGCGAGGAAACAAGAAAGGGGCCACATATGGCCCTCAGACCACATTTTGCCCAGGTGTGGTCGATGGTCTGAAGATTGCATTTTCTGTTCCATCCCATTCTGAGGACTTTTTTTCAAAGATGTAATAATAGTTAATTTTAACAAATGTCCTCATAATTCGCTCTCTGAGATGCAGGACATCTCGTTACGCTAACAGTTTTTTTCCACAGGCTGTTATCAGTGTGAACAGAGCACTTTAATGATTTGCACTTGTTTTGAAACTGTTTTAGTCGATCGATTTCACAGTGACATTTGCTTACTGTTTAATTTCTGTCTTTTAATGTTGTTTTATGTTTGTATTTGTCTGTGCACACTGGAGACTTTTTGCTAATGTATTCCAATGTGGTGTTTTTACTGCAAATGGCAAATAAACTGAATCTGAATCTAATTCATATAGTGCTATGGCTATACTATTGCAGTACTACTGCAGTACTATTGCAGTACTATTGCAGTACTATTGCAGTACTATTGCAGTACTATTGCAGTACTATTGCAGTACTATTGCAGTACTATTGCAGTGGTGGCACTTGGGCGGCTCCGGAGTGCCGCTGAATGAGGAAGTGTGAGCGTTCTGCTTCCTCCACATTTGACTCAGAAACAGTTCAGAGACTTTAGTTACAAGTATTGCATAAAGTATTGAAGTTATAGGAATTTAATTGTGTAGTAATTTAGAGTTTGATGTATATCAAACATCAAATGTCAGTATACAATTTTCCAAATATTGTCTTCTTCAAAGTATTGAATTCGAAATGTGTTTCATGAAGTGAACTTTAGGACTAGAACTGCTTTGAAAGTAACTAATCCGACAACACTACTCAAAACGTACTCTTGTTTGGAGCCAAGGTTCCACTACACTGCAGAACTGAGCTCATTAGTTCTAAGCTCAGTTCAGAACTGAAGTTTGCATGTTCTCTGCATGCTTTTGTTCAGAAGTTTGGTCCTAAGTCTGGTCCTAAAACTGGTTCTAAGACTGGTCCTAAGTCTGGCCTATGGCTTTGTGTGGTGTGAAGAGCCGTCTTACCTGAACAGGTAAAAGTCTTGCAGTAGTTTCACAAAGAGGAGGAGGAAGAAGCAGAAGCAGGAAACAGCAGCAGAGTTTTTAAGCACAGCCCTTCCCCTTGCAGCCAGGCCCCTCCCCCTGCAGCCAGACTCCTCCCCTTGCCGCCAGGCCCCTCCCCTTGCAGCCAGACTGCTTGGAACCATCCTGAGACCCACTGTGAGACACTGAGACCCAATGGACCCAATGTGGATTCAGACATGTGCTTTGAACTGACTGAAGCAGGACTGAATCAAGACCGGAACTGACCAGGTCTGGACCAGGTTTGGACTCGGACAAAACAAGGGCTGGACAGGAAATTAACCAGGACAGGACCAGGTCTAAGTTTTTAAGGGGAGGGGCCACAGACCGGGAAGTATGGCAGGTCTGGGCGAGTCTCTCAGAAAAGTCTGGAGCAAAACTATGTTCAGTTCTACATGTGCATACACACAGAGACACACAAAATACACACACACAGAAAGAGTGACATACAAACACAGAGAGAAACACACACATAGTGTGAGATTTCATAACACTTTTAAGCAACTTTTGTTAAAGTTCAAACTCATCCTTATTACATTTGCAGAAGCCAGTACTTTTCCCTTGTTTTGACTTCTGAAGGCTAAGCTACATGGCACTGTGGCAGCTGCTGATTGGAGGTCTGCATTCCTCCATTATGTATAATACACTTGCATCTCTACCATCGACAATAAAACATGTCTTCTGTCTGAATGAAAGACACGATCCCAGACTTTGTCATCTTCTTCACTAGATACAGGCAGAGAGAGACACACAGAGTGCGAAAGACACACATACACAGGCCAAAACACTTGTCTTTATTGAGTATTTCACACAAAGATTAACTGTATTTTCTCAAAGCTAAAACATGAGATTTTCTGATACTTTAGTACTTACTAAAAGGACAGTATTCTGCAGTAGTCCTGCGTTTGCACTTCCTCTCACACTCAGGAAGTACTCTGTGGTCTGCACTGAAACTCCACCTACACCAGACCTGGTTCAGACCTGGTTCAGACTTGGTTCAGACCTGGTTCAGGCCTGGTTCAGACCTGGTTCAGGCCTGGTCTAGACCTGGTCTAGACTTGGTTCAGACCTGGTTAATCCTCAGTGTGGTTTTGAAACAGTTTCATATTTGAGTCATTATTTAAATCCTGCACTTGCAGAGTATTTACACTTTAGTTTCACACGAGTCTGTATAATACTCTTTGAGTGCAGCAGAGTATTACAGAGTGTAGTAGAGTATTACAGAGTGTAGCAGGGTATTACAGAGTGTAGCAGAGTATTACAGAGTATAGCAGAGTATTACAGAGTGTAGCAGAGTATTACAGAGTATAGCAGAGTATTACAGAGTATAGCAGAGTACTACAGAGTGTAGCAGAGTATTACAGAGTGTAGTAGAGTATTACAGAGTGTAGCAGAGTATTACAGAGTGTAGCAGAGTATTACAGAGTATAGCAGAGTATTACAGAGTGTAGTAGAGTATTACAGAGTGTAGCAGAGTATTACAGAGTGTAACAGAGTATTACAGAGTATAGCAGAGTATTACAGAGTGTAGCAGAGTATAGCAGAGTATTACAGAGTGTAGCAGAGTATTAAAGAGTATTACAGAGTGTAGCAGAGTATTACAAAGTGTAGCAGAGTATTACAGAGTGTAGCAGAGTATTACAGAGTGTAGCAGAGTATTACAGAGTATAGCAGAGTATTACAGAGTGTAGCAGAGTATTACAGAATGTAACAGATTATTACAGAGTGTAGCAGAGTATTACAGAATGTAACAGAGTATTACAGAGTGTAACAGAGTATTACAGAGTGTAGCAGAGTATTACAGAGTGTAGTGGAGTATTACAGAGTGTAGCAGGGTATAACAGAGTGTAGCAGAGTATTACAGAGTGTAGCAGAATATTACAGAGTGTAACAAAGTATTACAGAGTGTAACAAAGTATTACAGAGTATAGCAGAGTATTACAGAGTATAGCAGAAAGGTTGTTCTGGCGCACACACAGAACACGTCTGAACTTGTGTGGAATCTCGAGTCGAGTCAAATCATTTTTATTATTATTATTTTCAGTAACCAAAGCAACGTTCACGATATTTGTCAAACGTGATCAGTCGCTCGACTCAGGGTCTGTGCACAACACTCTAACTTCATTGCATTTATTTGATTTGATTTTTTTATGTGGAAGGTAATTTAGAATATGTGCTACATTTAGGTGATGCAATGTAGTACAAAGTATAGTAATACTCTGTTACACTCTATAATACTCTGTTACTCTCTGTAATACTCTGTTACACTCTGTAATACTCTGTTACACTCTGTAATACTCTGTTACACTCTGTACTACTCTGTTAAACTCTGTAATACTCTGTAATACTCTGTTACACTATGTTACACTCTGTTACACTCTGTAATACTCTGTAATACTCTGTTACACTCTGTAATACTCTGTTACACTCTGTAATACTATATTACACTCTGTAATACTCTGTTACACTCTGTAACACTCTGTAATACTCTGTTACACTCTGTAATACTCTGTTACTCTATGTTACACTCTGTAATACTCTGTAATACTCTGTTACACTCTGTAATACTCTGTTACTCTATGTTACACTCTGTAATACTCTACTACACTCTGTAATACTCTGTTACACTCTGTAATACTCTACTACACTCTGTAATACTCTACTACACTCTGTAATACTCTGTTACACTCTGTAATACTCTACTACACTCTGTAATACTCTACTACACTCTGTAATACTCTGTTACACTCTGTAATACTCTACTACACTCTGTTATACTCTGTTACACTCTGTAATACTATGTTACACTCTGTAATACTCTGCTACACTCTGTAATATTCTGTAATACTTTGTTACACTTTGTAATACTGTTACACTCTGTTATACTCTTCTACACTCTGAAATACTTTGTACAGAAGAGTATTGATTATTTGAAGAGCTCTGTTTAAGAGACATTGATGAAGAACGTCCAGACCCGGCAGCTCTCAGCTCACAGTCCTCTTTAGAGCGGAGCACCTTCAGAAGACTTCACACAAGACTCTGTTCTGCTCGTCCTGATGTTCAGGTCTATGTGTTTGAGAACGCTGCGGTGGGCGTGCCTCATGACCTCTGACTTCGGGGCTTGGATTCCAGCTGCAGGTTCAGACCAGTGTTAGCGTTAGTGTTAGCACCACAGCCTCTGGCTACAGCTAACACACAGCACACACCCTGAACCATGATAGGCTCTGTCCCTGCAGCCAATCTGCTCCTCTCACAGAACACTCTATTCACTCTGTGCTGACTCCCTCCATTACTCTGTCCATCTACTGCAGCTTAAAGTTTTACACACTTGTTCTCCCCCACAAACAAATATTTTATTTTACTGAGAGAACAAAACAGTACAGCAGTAGACGAGTGGAGCACTAGTAGACACGGTAGTAGCAGTACTAGCCATAGTAGTAGAAGCAGCAGTTATGTAGTATTAGTAGTTATGTAGTAGTCACACTTAACCCGTCCATCAAAGAAAGAATAAAAGATCTCTGGTTGCAGTTTTGTACCGAACCTATCTGGTTCTGGCACTGGCTTCAAAAACTTGCAGATTCTCGCAGACTCCTGAGGAGCAGAGACTTGTGCTTTGTGTGAACTGTGAAGTTAATTTCATGTAATATTGTTCTTTTTATATTAAATTAGGAAACTCTTTGTTTCATTAAATGTTCACTCGCTCCTGATCTGTTCTGGTGCAGTATCAACATCATGAAACTTCTAAGTAAATGTTTTAAATTATCTTTTTGTGTAGAGCCTGGAAGAAGCATCAGACTCAATTCTCCAAATGAGAGCATTAGTGTTTGAATATGTTTATGTTTTTGTTCCTGAAGTCACCTGTGTCTTTGTATCTGAGCTGATGATGTATTATGGAAATCATATGAAAGACTTGATAAAAAACATTTATGAAGACATTAGAGAACAACCATATTCCAGATTCAGAAAACTTTATTGATCCCAAAGGGCAATTCATTTGCAGCATAAACTCATATTTCCAGATGAAACTGTATTCAAACACTCAATTCACCATCCAGAAAGAACATTGCAGGTTTACAATTACTCCAAAACTCGGCAGCATGTGTTCTGACTAAGAATGGCTTTCATCCTATGAACCTTCCCGGCCCCTGCGCTCCTCCGGCAGCAGACTCCTAACCACTCCCTGGACCTGGTGGGGGCCTGGAGCCTCGGCTTCATCTCTGGGTCCAGTGTTGTCCCTTGTGGCTGCGGGCGGCTCTATGCTCCTGGTGCAGACGGCTCCTTGGATGGTGCTTCTAGAAGTTGCACTCACTCTTCTGCAAGGCACTGACAATATCTAAAAGAAACTGCTGAACTTGTTAGTGGCTTTATTCGTCCAAAAGTGAGGAAATGTCAGTGTTGCATCACCAGTTACAGAACAGTAGAATGAGGAGCACACAGCACAAGATAAATGAACAATAACACCATACTAAATAAAATAAAATAAAATAAAATGTGTAAACTCTGGTCCATGATCATTTCCTACGTACGTCTGGGTCTGATCCTAGTGGCTGCAGTTTCCTCTGACCAATCCGAGAGCGAGGGAGGCGGGTGTTGTAGGTCGGTGTCGGTGACGTCTGAAGTTTGCGCCAAATTATTTTGTCAAACTACAACCATCCGCTGAATGCGATAGTAAAGTAGTCCGTTCTGGTTCGTTTCCAAATTTTAAGAAATTGAAACTGGAGCAAGAGGAATGTTTAGAAAATGTAATTGCTGGAAAGATATAATAAAACACAGTATTCTCTATTATGGGACACAAAGAGTCCAGATTGAGAATCTACAGCATTGTGGAAGAGTTCAAAGAGTTGGGTACAGTCAGTAAGTAAGTAATGTTTATTTATATAGCGCATTTTACAGACCAAGGTCACAAAAAGCGCTTTACAATGTTCAGTGTGTTCCATGGATCTATTATAATAACTGGATAGGGTATTACTAGTTTGGAGCTGAAGACCCCGTGCTCAGAGGATTCTCGCGGTACTGCAGATTAAACCGGACTAAATTCACGTGGGCTACCCAGAAATTTTCCCCATGGAACTCAATGTAAACTAAAACAGCTCGACCTCAGCTGACAGAGAACCTGACAGAGAAC